CTATTCGCTATTCGCGACTATTCGCTATTTGCTATTCGGATCTTCCAGACACCCTCAGGAGAAATAGTTCTTCGGGTAGGTTAATTACCGTAAAAGCTCCGCGGAATGCCTTGTAATCGGCTTTGCCTATTTATAACCATAACATTTCATAACAATTTAACCGAAGCGAAAATTGTGAACGGAAAAGTCAGATCAGTCACTCGATATTCTACATCTCAATTTTATAAATCGTGTATAATTTTCTCCCCTGCACGTTTGGTCATACCGTGAGTACTAGAGACTTTTCAAGTGCGGTTTCCGGTTTTGGTTAATCACGCGAACTAAAGAAAACTCTGATACTCAGGGTACTCTTGTTATAGATTTTAAAAATCAGTAGCAAGAAATTTTTAGCGGATATCGGGTTGCAGTGGTAACCCATGTATCAGGTTAACGTTGTTCGTGAAGTAAGACTTCGTTGGTCTGAAAATCTTACACGAAAACGGCTTACGGTTTTAGTTCGTAATAATGTCCGGTTTCTCGGTTTTCCGCTTATGTTTCCCACGGGTAATGAAAGTAACAGTTAGATCGCTCAACATACCATGCAATTTGACCAATCAGCTCTCCTGTCCAGAGTCAGTACACGTTTAGATCGTCAGCATGGAATTTCAGGCTGTAAATTGCAGATGCGAAAGCCAAACCGGCTTGAAGTGTTGAGATGCGGATTTTCTAGCTCACAGAATATCATTCGTAGGACCAAATTGTCATGAATACTCACGATCGCTCTCACTGGTGGTACTAAGCTATTATTGTTGTAGATTGAGCCAATTGAGAAATGGTATCGCTATTTACGATCGTTTTTCTCCGTGATATCTTGGAAGAATTGTCGAGAGAAAATGAGAATTACCATGAGAATTATATTTAAATTGTAGTTTATGTTGTCAGTATCTTTTCTTTACATTTATCGTTTGGATGATGAAAATAAAATCAATAAATAAAAACATGGAAGGAGGCTCCATGCCATTCCTCGTTTTCCGGCGGGATCATTTGCGGTCTACATCGGGGATCATTTGCGGTTCGGGATCATTTGCGGTCCAATTTGAGGATTATTTCCGGTCTGGGGATCATTTGCGGTCGGGGATCATTTGCGGCGCTGTACAGCTCAGGTATTCTGGTGTTCCGGAAGTCCTACGATATTCCAGATTTTACATTCCCTGAGCCCTATCGTTGTAGCAGATGCATGAAAAGTGGAGAAGGCCCTGGGGACGAGGTTGAGGCGGATGTTTGTTGACTGTTTGTAAGCGTGTTCTTCACATTGTTCTTCACAACCTTCCCCTCTCTGACACACTCTCGCCGTCATCTGGATTGCTTAATCCCGTTGTGTGGATGAGAAATTGCACTGGAAGAAAACAAACGATTGAAGACAACCTACAGTGAACGGTGAGCAGAAATTCACCTCATAGATACATAGTGTATGGCGAAGCTAGGGCGTTCACATTATCGCGATAACTTCAAGATGTACAGGAACCTTGTTTTAAGCTTGTTTATTTATGAAATCGTTGCGGAAACTTTAGTCGGGTCTATAGATGTTTGTTCCTGTTTTGTAACGGGAAGTGTGTTTGCTGTGTTCGTTAATAACAGTCTAGCGACAGTTGTTTGCATAACAACTAGAATTTTGAAAGCTGCACTACCAGGTGGCCATGCAGATATTTTGTATGTCGTAAACTATGGGTTTCTACTCCGAATAAAGATTCCCTTTTAAGCTCAAAAAGCTTTGTTGTTAGTTTCGACGTTCAGTGTACTTTGATGTAGGACTGGATATGTGCCATAAACTAATTTTGAAGCTCATGACAAGCTTACAGTTCTACGCTGATAGGTTCTGTCGTTAATTCCCTTACAGAATTTTTATCTGACTAAATTTTGCAGTGAAGGTAACTTTATTCCAGTTAGGAAGATAATGTTTCTTCAACTACTAACAGGTATGTAGCTGTCATAACATGAAATCGACCTTGAATGAAGCCTTGAAAGCGCTGATGCCTTTACCAAAATTGTTTTTATTATGCAAGTGACGGATGTCAATATTACATGTATTTGGAAATGCTGAGTCACTATTAATTAATTCAGACATGGCTCTGGTTATTTGTGGTGGGAATTTGAGAAGCTTTTAATGATGTGTAGCTTGGAGACAGAGAGAATCAGTAGGCAAGCAAAAATACTACATCTGATTTGTCTTTGTAGTACTGGCTGTGGCAAATTGACTCAAGGTTCAATTCCTTTGGGATGATCCAGATTCCCCTTTGGGAACTAGAATATTATTATATATACTCAAGATTTCTATATAAACAATAGCCTCCATCTGACACAAAAATACATAAACAATAGCATCCATTTGGCACAAAAATATGCTTGGATATATGTCTGTGGACCTTATTTGTTCTGAGACGTGAACAGTGAGCTTTGGGGAACAGGTAATATTGAAGGACGACTATCTGAGCATGTTTTTAAAATCAGTTGGAGGCTATTGTGTTCATTGTCTGTTAAATAATTTTCTTGTCATGCAGGATCTAAAAATTGGGGAATATTCACTTGGATATTCCTCAGGCTTAGCAAGGGAATATTTGGTCACATGGCACCTTTAGACCAATCGTGTATGAGGGAAAATATTTGATGGATTGTAATGTGGATAGTTGACTAAGGCTCAGCCTGAGTCAACTTAATCACACAAAAAAATCTCAAGCTCATTATCTAATTGTTTTAGTGTTTACAAAGCTTCTAGTCAAAAATGCAAAGAAGTGGCTGTCATTTTATTAACAAAGGCACACTGGCAGGCTACTCACTATATGTACATATATACATGAATCTACAATGTTCAGATTAGATAGTAGTCAGTAGCCAATCAGAGAGCAGCAATGTGATGAATGTTAGTAGATTTATTCTAAATGTAAGCATATTGTACTCTGGACATGTACTTTGGGGTCCAGTTTTTAAGACTTGAGTGATAGACAAATTATGTACCATATCATTGTGCAATAAGGTAATTTCAATCAGGATTTAACTATTTGGCTTGCCAGTATGAGTTGTCTTTATCTTGATATCTGATGCTGAGGTTTCACTAAACTTTTTCTGGTTTTGACAGCACTGTCACTGTTGAAAGTTGCAATTGCAGGTAAGATGGTATTAATTTAAATTACTTTCTATGAAAATAATTACAGTGAGGCCCCAGTTATGGTCTCGGGTACCCAAGACAATTTTCCCCCTGAGGCAACTTGACTGAGTGTTTATTATTATTATATGTGAAAATTAATGTACAGTCCCTGTAGGCTGAGTCAAAGTTGACCCTGCGTGATTATTCATAACCCTTATTGAACAATCAAATATCCAGATATCCCTCTTTCTTTGAGTTTCCCTCGGTCGTTCGATCACAGTAGGTTTTGCCGAGTTAATTTTCACTTCTTTGATACAAATTTCTGCTTTAAATCCTAAATCTAGGCATTATGTAACACTCAACACGCTTAGAGTTGTCCTGGTCAAGCAAGCCAAAGCATTTATATTACGAAGAAAAGTGGTCACGCTTGCCAGGGTTACCCTACCTGCTGAGGGAAGACAACTTGCCCACCCAAGTTGTCTCACCCCCCAAGACAGGTTCTCAATTCTAATGTAAACGACTGGTTGATATTGCAAAGAAAAAAGCTAAAAGTTACCTTGGCCTGGATACAGTAACTAGGGGGGAGGGTTGTCTCGGGTGCCTGAGACCATATAAATGGGGCCTGAGAGGTACGGGTGGGGGGGAAGGGTAGCATTAGATAAATTGACTGGTCGCGAGAACCACCTTGCTTGCCTGGTTTGAACATCTTCAGAACTTTTAAATTTCTGATAAATAGTTCAGTTCAAAAAGGCTTGCCTGCCTGCCAACTTCAATAATAATATTGCTCTCCACGTACATGTACTGGCTACTGTAGTTCAATCTATTAATGACAGTCTGACTAGTATAAAATGAGATGTGTACAGCATAGAAAGTGGGAGCTGTTTGAACAGCTAGTATTTGTTTAATGTAATTGTATATTTATAGTACTGCAGAAAATAAAAAGGTTTAATTTGAACATGTAAGAAACAAAACACAATCAGCCAGACAGATGTAACGGAGGCAGTATGGCCGAGTGGTTAGGGCACTGGACTTGAAATCCGGAGGCCGCAGGTTCAAGTCCCACTCTGACCACTT